TGCCGTTGCAATTATTGCCAGCATCGCCTGACGCGCGTGTATTGTCGCGGGTGGGGAGAGGCGGACGAGCTGACAATGAAAATTAAATGTCTGCTGTACAACAGTAGATGTTAAAAATTTCAGGTGTGAATCCAGTCTTTGGACCTTTGTTAGGAATAGTCAAGCAGTAAATAAATAAGATGCTAATTTTCAGGAGATTTGTAATCATAAACAAAATCTCTGCAAGAACTTCGATGTAAGTAATGTCCAAAGATACCTATGGCTTCGAGCGGTTTACCGAGTTTTATCCAATTGACTGGAATGATTTAAGGTTCGGAATGTTCAGTTAAAAGTTTGGCCTGTAATCCTACAGTACTACTAAATCTAAACTCTTCTGATTTCTATAAAAAAAAAATTCACTACACATTCTTAGAATCTTTCAAGCATAAAGATACGGTTTGTGTTCGTAACAAGAATAGCATCGGTTACTCGGCAGGTAGTGCAATTTTAATTCGTTAGAAAGCAGGACGTCCGATTGTGAAACTGCGGTGTGTAATTGCGATCAACCGTGTAATGATCGACAGCGGTCAATTAACACTCTCAAGACCGGCGTTTGCTGCGCGAACACAAGAACCTCGCGGGTCACACACCAGCGCCTGGCGAGGTCATCGTGTATGCATGTGTGTTAGGGCAGGGGGGAGGGATACACGTTACACGCGAAGTAGACGCCTGGAATTGGCGTTTTTGTTTCCCGATATCAATTTCGGAGCGACGATGAAAGGCTTTTAATTGGGGCCGGCGATGCTGCTGATGGCGACTGAATCGTCCGGCGACAGTAATGGAACGCGATAAATGCGAGTAAATCTCACCGCGCGAAAATTCCACGAACAGAGCCAGTCGTGCTGAAGAACTCGTTATCTTTTTTCGGTAAATACAATGTGACCAGAAATTACCTCGTCCAATAGACGACGTTGTTACTTATTATTGTCGGACGATTTAATTGTTCGAAGTATTTAACAAAAAAATACTTAAAAATGTCTTGTCTATAAATACGGTATCGTGAAGCTTAGAAATTGTTAAAAGAAAATTAATATCCATCATGGAAAAAGATAATTTATGTGAAAATCTAGTCCTATACGTGATTCCATTTATTTTGGCGTTATTACGCGGAACAGATTTGTTTGTTTTCTTGGTCGACACTTAATCAACCCGTTACGAATCTAAGGGGAAGTCTGACTGAGCGTAAAATCGACGACACTTTTCGCGAAGTCTGTTTAGTCGACAGGGGTCGGCTGCCTGTCAATCGAGAAAATTGCGGATATGGAGCTTTCCCGCCATGGTGGCAAAGCGTCATTTCCTACGTCGGATAGAATGTTCCGCCGCGAAACGAGAAACGGGAACCAATATTCGAGGCTCGGCTATAATTTGTTTATCCCGAGACAGCAAAAGTAACGCACGTCTCGAAGTATATCGCTCCATTTGAACGAGTCAGTACTCGCTGCACCGGAAATGAAATCATTACTAACCGCGGTAAATGAGACGTAATTAGATATCGAAGTATATGTTTAAAAAATTTCTTTGAATACATATTTTGAACAACAAAAGAGTGATTTTTTAGCAACATATATAAAAATATACAGGAGCAAAAAAACAAGCGGTTGAATATAGAAAAAGAAAAATAAATGATAATAAACACTTTGCGCCAGTTAGTTGTTACTGACGTTCTGGACTAATTAACCCCTTATGCCGCGGTCGTTATCTTTATAGAGATATGCAGGTTATTAGATTTAATGTTCTCTTTTCACAACTTGCCACTTTTTTACCGAAAAATCAAGAAATATTTATGAATGGTCATAGAAATATACTTTATAAATGTATAATGAATTAACTAGAAATTTGAAAAATTTCTAATGCATTCTGATATACATATATGTACATAACATTCTAACCTATATATGACAGTATGTTTAAACTATGACCAAAGGCATGCCAAACCGTAACAATCGGTTGACTAAAAATAAAGACTTGCGCATTAAACATTCAATTGACAAATGTTGTAAATAAAATGTTATTTATAAAAAGAGTTCTCAATTATTGTACCTTTTTTATGTTCCCAGACAGCAACACATTTTTCAAAACAAAACAAAGAATAAATGTTTGGTAGTTAATAGAGTAATTAGCATTGACTGCGAAGCTCTTTTAAGGTAAAAAGTTTACAAAAACTTGAGTTATAACTCCACAGTTAACATAATAATACGGAAGCGAGATGATGTACTGTAATGCGTTGTAAAGAGCAAAATCTAAATACCTTTGTCATTCCCGTCGAAGCAAGTTTCCCGCCTCACCAGTACAATAGCTGCCCACAGCGGCTTCCGGATCGATGACAGATGAAACGGTTATATTTCACTACAGACATTCTATTACGAAGTTACGATTTAATCGGTTATACTGGTTATAGAAAGGAAATACCGTCCGACCCGCACAAGAGACGTTAACACAATTTCGTTTTAAATTCACGTCGCACAAAAATGTCGCTGATGACGTTAGTCCATCTGGCGACCGAATGCTGAACCTTAGAGACAATCTTCGACTGGTAACTTCAACCGTACACAACGTTATCTTCGAATCACGCGTAATCACTTCCGGTTTTTATCTGTAAAAATGTACTGCGTTCGTATTTTAAACATGTTCATCGGGAAAGCAATGAAACTAACAGCATGTTTTTTTCACGTTAAAAGATATTGGAAAAAGTGATATTGGATGGAAGGACGGAAAAATTCACGATCCACCGTGATTCGTGTTTCACAGAGCTATTTCGATGATGAACGATCGAGCGGCCGAGATAAATTGGTTAAAATTAAACTCTGGCAGAAACTAACAAAGGAGAAGGGCGCGGGTAGAGAAAGGGTGATGAGAGAACGGTGGTGGGTATGGGGATGGAGCGTAGAATGGGGAATGGGCAAACAGTGCGCAATTAACGTGCGACCATTAAATATGTACGCGGGTTACTGCGCCGCGATACGTATGTGTGTATGCGGGCCAGCGCAAATGCATTGGCTATCGAACGCTCGCGCGCCACTACCGATCTCTTCTTGCAGCCTGTTGGCACAGCCGCTTGATTAGCTCCACCATATTTACATATCATTAGCCGAGTGTTTGTCCATGTCGAGGATTCCCCTCTCTCGCATCAGTGTTGTTCGTCAGTATGGAAAATAAAAATTATTACACGAGCAACCAAATACCGTGTCGACAAAAATCTCTCTCTCCCTGGAGTACATTCATCGGTATAATACTCCGAATCAATTCCCCAAACTCGCGAGAGGATTCGTTTGGGATACCTTTGCGTGTGTGTAAATACGTGCCGTACTGATCGTCGACCGTGTTGGCAAATTGTTGTACAATATGAAGTTTATTACATTTCTCAATTTCACTTTATTCATAAAAATACGAATTTCGATCTTAATCTCGTTGCCTACATTGCATAACAATTTCTTTTTTTTTTTTTTTCATCTTTTGTCGTTTTATACACTAGTTGAATGTATTGGACAAGCTGGGCGCGGCTAATTGCCGCATGAGAAATGAACGGAAAAAAAACGCAATAAATAGATTCAACGAACTCGACTGCTTAATTACGCCCAATTCTCAACCGGACAAAGTATGTCTACGATAACATCGTTAATCGGTTATCTCTATATAAATCGTAGTGTTCGGCACAATGTAATTCTTGAAAGACATCCGCCTATGCCGCGGATTTAAAATGTAGTGAATACTGCTACATTTGTTTATCGAGGGAAATGCTTGCGACGTAAACGTCCGTAAACGATATGCTAAAAATAATAATGACAACGTTTTCTTTCTTTCGTTCACAGCATTTACCTCGATGCAAAACGTTTGTTTAAGAAGGAAACGAAACGGCTCTGTTGCACTTCATTCGTAAGAAACTATCTGAATCGTAAACTTAAGGTAATACGTTACACTGGTAACGTTTCATCTACTTATTAAGGTACGCGCAACCTTAACGCCTACGTTTTCGATTACGGTAACGAGTTTTGATTATCCTTTTCCTTTTCTCCATCATGCCCCTTAATTTCAATATGGCGACGTCCAAATCAGTCTATCGAGTCGTACACACGTGCTTATCCGTAGAAATTATTGTAAAAAGTACCATTTTTAAATTACTATTAAGGCAGTATGGTAATATGACTCGGCTTACGTACGTAAGACTTCCATTACAAGTCTTTCTACGTTTTTACAGATCAAAATCTGTCGGATATGTGCGTGTTTTCTACACCGTTGGTATTGCAAATATCAACAACAAAACATTCAAAAGCTTTTAAAACTCAGTGAAACATTTGCATAGACAGTTTTACAAAAGTAACTATGCATAGTGGTACGTTACGTCAGTTTATGAGCTTTAAGGATAGATGGATGCGTAAACTACACAAAAGTGAATCAGGATCTCCATTAATTTCTCGTGAAATTATATATTGTTCAATTGTAAGAAACTCGAACTTGGTCCTCAAGGTTCGTTAACTATCACGAAAAAGGTTAATGAACAACGATCAATAAATAAACGAACAGACAACATGGCTAACAGAATAATAATTGTGAATTATACGTATCATCGTAGGGTGAAACGCAAATGGTACTCAATTACCATCGTTATCAACATAACAGTCACTACTTTTTTAATATATAATCGATTGCATTGTTTCTGAAAGGCAGTATGGAAAGTAGGAACTGCCTAGAAATTTAGTAGCCATCATGAATAACCTAAGTCTCTTTTCCTTTAGGTATTCTAAATAAGTAACAGACACAAATGCAGTACTGAACATGTACAAAACCGAATTTTCCTTGAAAATATATGCTTAACGAATTCATTCGAACGTAGTAACGTGTTTCACGCGAGAAACTTTAGTGTTTAATACAATATAACCAACCGTTATCATTCAATGAAAGGAAAATAGTTCTAGCAATGAGCATAATCAGCACGATAATTCCACATTCTAATCTAACTAATTCTAGCAAGTGGCAGCATTGCTACAATCAGTTTCCAGCATAGCCGACTCAAACTGTTCGAGCACCTGCATGCTTTCCGGAGATACAGCATTAATGCCCAAACGTTCCTTGTACTCGTTTCCGGACAATCGTCGCCGTGAATACTTGATAGTGTCGTTCATCGCTTGTTCCGGAGTGTCGCTGTCGCTAGTGCTGCTACCGCTGCTGCTGGTTGAACGTCTGCCACTGGATAAGTCTTGTCTCTCGGTGTCAGCCTTATCATCAGGAACTGAGACCTCGTTGCGAAGCTCCAAGAAATTGCTCTGTGCGTTACATAGGGACGCCGAATCTTGCCGATCCCTCCGATTGTCCGATACAATTTCCGTAAGAGAAGTGATGCGCCTCGGATAAGTCATATCAGCTTGAAATGTTCCAGTCAATGTGATTTCCTCATCGTCGTCGGGTTCGCATATCGCGTGCGAGTACCTCACGGACGGGGTAGGTCGTTTACGTTCATACGTAATAATATCGGCCGTCCTTGTTATCGAACTGGGAATAGAATCAAACGAATTCATCCCCTTACTTCCATTATTGTTCTTTTGATTCTTTTTCATCGCAATTCTATTTGCGAGCCAACTGGTCTGTTTGATCTCACAATCATTATAATCATCATCAAAGGTACCGGACGACAAGGATGCTTTGCTAACATAAATGTTGCTATTCGTATCCTCGTCCGTGACTTCGTTGATATCCAGGTCATTTTTTTCGGAAGCATTACCGGTTTTGTATACTAGCTTTGCTCTAAGTGGCGCTGGTATATGCGCTTCTTCCAATTTCACGTGCTCGAAGAATTTTGTGAGGGCACCACGCTGCAATTGGACCGGAGGCTCGTTTCGCTCGACTGACTCCAGGTGGTAGTCTTGATGATACAACTGTTGCCGACCGACGACGGTATCTTTGTCAACTGTGCCGACGTTTCGTGACTCTCGAGAATTATCGGTGACGATATAGGACTTGTTATGGCCTGCGAACAATGAGTGGAGAAGACCACCGGTTCTTGGCCGGAACTTTGGACGACCACTGAACACGCCTGTTTCCTCTGGTTCGGTTGACTTTGTGATTTGTAATTGCTTGTCGGATTCTGTATTATCGTAGGTAGGCAGTAAGATTTCTGTGGCTCTGGTAGATCGCAGCTGATTAATACCGAGTTTGTTCCTGGATTGTCTAGCCCGGGACTTACGACCGTTGAATGCCGATCGTTCCAGCTGATACTCGGTCGTGATGGAGAGATTCTCGGTGTCGATGATGCGATTGAGGGCTGGTACTGCGCGGTTTGTTTGCTTCTTACGGTTACGATTGACGGCATCGGGCAACTGCTTACCGACGAACACAGAGGACTGGGCGACAGAGATTTCCGTCTGAACGCGAGGGTTGTAACCTGATGTGGTTGGCAGCTTGTAGTTGAGCATTGCACCGTGACTTTGGTCATCGGAAGACTGACTTGCCCTTCTAGATGGTTCTGTGATTTTTTTGACAATGAGGTATGACTGATGCTTTTCTGCCTGCACACTACTGACTGGTAACTGGTAGGCGTAGGAGACTTGAGGTTCTGATCGGTCGACATAGGCGATACTCGATCGGGGCAGCTGATTGAGGACGATGGAGGAGTAGGGCACGTTTTCTCGTTGCTCGGTGCTGATTGTTGTGGAAGACCCAACATCCGACTGGTTGACGGTTGATGAAGAGATGTTGTTTGAAGAGATTGGGATGAGGAAGGTCGAGGCGGGTAGCTGATTGATACCGATGGCCTTGGAGAATCCCCGCTTTTTCTGAGCTGCATCAGCTTTATGAAGTCCACAAGTCGTTTTATAGATCTCTGCGTCTTCTCTTGTTTTCCTAATAATTCCTGGCGCGTGCGATGTTGTAGCTGTTGAAAGAAGAATTATATTGTTAGTTAGATAATTTTTAGCAGCGTGAAAACCGAAAACATGATGAAACTTAAAATTCACGTTGATCTTCTAACGGATAATGTCGGAACAAAGATGCGCATGCTCGTGTAACGAATAAATTGAACTCGAATATAACTTAATTTTGAAAAACACACGTATAATTTTTTAATATGTTCTTCATAAACGGACCTATTTTCATGTATCCGATCTGATAAATATATTTAAAGCTGGTAATGCAAAATGAATACACAATTCAAGTCCAAGAATAAAAGACGAACACTCTGTTAAAAATATTAAAATCGAAACTGTTTGTGAATGAAGCATCGTGCATTCCGTGTTTTCACGGATTAATGGATACATCGATTCTACACACGTTCGCTAACAGAAGTTACATAACGTGAGAGACACATCGATTTTTCAATAAACTAGGGAATCAATTTTCGTTTAAAGAAAAATTGATATACTCTTGAAAAATAATATTTAAAACGAGGAGGATAAAAAACGTAGAGATCTTGCAGGTTCTCACTGATGAAAAAACAAAAGAGATGGAATATATTCATATTCATTAAATAATCGAACAGCATTCCAAATGAAAATAAAAAGTTTATGAATTTCTTTCTACGCAGGCCACAGGACGAACCTGAAGTGACTGGCCGAGTAGTTGTGAGCGTTTTTCCAACTCGTAAACCTGCAATCTCAGATCCGAGTTTCGCTCGCGCAGCTCATATCTTTCTCTCTCTTTCTCCTCTGCAAGATATTTCGCGTTCAATACACGTTGCTTTTTTGTGCCCTATTACTGACGATCGACCAAAAAGTTCTTCTTAATTGCAAATTCTTCTGCCGTATTCGAGGAGCCGGTCTCACTCGTGGACACTTCTCCCGGCAGGCTGCTCTCTCGCTTATTCTCTCTGTGTGCTTACTCTCAATAAAGTCTGCGGCAACGCTGCGATACCTCGTTGCACGTTAAATCTAGAAATTGTGGACCCATGTTACACAATTTCCTGCTCTTCATTGGAACAACGTGCCTGCATTATCTACAAGTATTTTCCACTTTTTCCCATCGCCTTATCTTTTACCCGAAACTTTTTGTTCGTTTTACCATTAAAATGTACACGCTAACTTCCGATCATCGAAGACAACCGGAAGCGCAGTTTTGTCTCTTTAAAAAAGAGTACAATACACATCGACTTAATCCCGAACGGTGCCGCCGCGAAATGAGATAAGCGTGCCACGAACATTCATAACAAGCTAATGTCTGCAGGAAACAAGAACTTTTTTGTCAATCACACGATCAACGTTACTACAGGTAAAAATCCTTTCAAAAACCAAGGACGATTTACCGAATTCTTCGTCCTTTTTGAACACCGCGCGTCCTTCGTCTTCCTCCTCTTCCCCATCTTCAACGTCTTCGATGTCTTCCACTTCTATTAGGGCACATTTAGGACATATCCTTGGCGGTGCCGGTGATATGGAGTGACAGGATACGTGATAATTTGATGCGCAATTTTCGCATACCGTAAGAGTACCTGTGGCGTGACAAAAATTAATGCATAGGTATTCTTGATCTTTTCATATTACTTCTATCATAATTCTGTTCTAACTTGTAACGCACCTGGATTCCTACAGCTTATACAGACTGCGGAATCATTACTGATTCTTTCAATAGTTAAACTGGAAGGTAAGCCCGGTATGTGAACAGCCTTGTTGCCAATTGATTGAACAGTTTTCACAGTGGGCACAGGCAATTGTATCTGATTAGGTCCATTTTCAACCTTGGTCTTATTGGTGTAAACTTTACTTTCGGTCACGTTTCTAAGAATATTAGGTCGCGTGGCGGTTTTCTGAACTGGAATCAAGGACTTCATCACGGTCCTTGACGACGGCGGTGAAGTTGACTTCGGTGGTGCAACTTTAACGGGCGGAGGCGACGGCCCGTTCATGCGTGCGGTTGTTTGGCGAGTTTGAGGAACATTTCCGGATTGCAGGTACGAATGTCGTTTTCGTTTCTAAAATACGTAAAAGTGTAGCATAGTATTACAATCAATGAACAAACGCGAGTACAATATGCATTGCACAAGTTGCAAACGTTTACTCAATTTACCGTTGGCACTTCAAGACTCGAATAGACGAATTGCGGATTGGCCGTACTACGACGCTTTCTCTCGGCCCTTCTGTTTTGCAATTCGGCACACGTTGAAGTCGTGATTAGACCAAGAGCGCTCAAGAAATTGATCTTTTCGGTCAATTCCTGTTTGCACTCTTTCACCGGCTCTTCCTTCTCAGATTTTTCATTGGAATTTTCGTCCATGGAGACCTCGATAACATCGTCTTCGCCAGAGATTGTTTCCACGGAACTGGGACGTTCCCTATAAAAAAAAAATATCAAAACAAAATTAATATACTACAGTTAATATTCATTAATATGTAACACTGTCCCAGAACTAATAGTTCAGTCCAAAGAGCAAGCGGAAGCTTATGGGCTACGGAAAAACTAAATTTTGCAGCTAAAGTATTTAAGTCGGAATAACAATGTATAAGAGTATTTTTTTCATTTACTTCGGTCGAGAACTACTGTCAGAAACCAATTTTGCAATTTTTTTTATTCAGTAAACATTACATTTTGCATTTTTATTTAAAGAAGCTGAAGAAATAACTCACTTTCTTCGTCTAGTTGCCGTCTGCGGGGGCGAGGGTACATCGCCGTTTCTAACGACTTCCTCGTAGTCCTCTTTCGAACTCTTCGTACTGAAGTCATTGCCGGTGGTCTTAAGTTTCCTCTCGTTGTTGTTTGTAATGTGATTATTATTGTTCAGTCCGAGGAGCGACGCGATAGAAACTTTCGCCCCGTTCGCGTTCTCCGCCTTGAACGTTTCGACCTCTTTGCGCAGCCGCTGGACAACTTGTTTCTGCGTATTAAAATTGGAAACGGTGAACCTTCGTACGACAATGATCGTAGAAAACTTTCTTGGAAGATCGTTCGACTAAAAATTCTTTTTTGACGACCAAATATATTTGCAGCGAATAATCCTATGAATCGTAAAAATGCCGACGAATACACGTAGAAGAATTCTTACGAACAAAAATTTTAAAAAACGAACAGATCTGCTAAAGAAATTCCCGATTGAGAGGAACAAAGATCGATTATTTCACCGATGAGAAACGAAACATCGATACTTTGCTCTTATTCCGCGAAAGTACTATCGACGCTATCCGAAGTTTCAAAAAGAGCGAAAAAACAATGAAAATTCGACTAGTTCACTCTAACGAAGCGAACATTACATAAATTTTATGAGGACTGTTAAATAATCCACAACGATATTACGAACGACTCGATTATGCGGAACATCTCGCCGGAAGTGTCGAACAACTTCCAGAAGTTCTCGGAAATAATGTTTAACGGGAGAAACAATGAAGGACAGCCCAAAGGGGGGAGAAACGCGGTGAAACGAGCATGGAAAAGCGATGGAAAGTTGGATGAACACAATGTGACAAGGTGGAGAGCCATTTGAGACGAGATAGAAAAAAACGTAGAAATTTCGTAAAGAGCTGAAAACGTTTCTGCGGGACATTTTATTGATTGAGTCCCCCCGCCTCTACCCGACCCCTACTCTACTTCCTTTTCACCCAAGTCCCATTCTCTCTCTCTCCTCTCTCTGCTCTCTCGCCATCTCGCACCCTCCACCCACTCCCTCTCGGTGTATCTGTGTGTACAATCGTCTTGCTTCCTCCAGGGGTGTTCCCTCTTTATCCATTTTTAGCCGTTTACGTATCTCCGATGCTACGACAACAATCGACTTGGATCGGTTACTGATTGCTGGCGTAAAAAGAAAACCTATGAAAAATGGCCGAACACGATCGTACGGATAAAGTTTGAAGGGGAAACACGAAGTAGCCGAATTGGGCGACGAAGGGGCGACGAAGGGGCAACGACGCATACGCGCCAGCAGGATTGTCCCCCCTCCCGCCGCGTAAATGTTTAGGAAAGGATGCTGTGACACAGGCAAAGCGCATCCCACGGAGGCATCCTCAGCCGAGACTCGCCTTGCTATCGATTATTCGTCGATTCGCGAATCCAGCGAAGAAACAACGCTGTTTCGAATCGATTCCCATGATATAACGCTACCGCGTGCGACTCGAACGAGGAATCCATCGAGAAGAGGAGAGTGTACGTTTCTTGCATATCGGAACGTGGAGAAAAACATTGATTGCGAGGAGAGCTTTTCATTAAAGTCACGCGACTGTAAAAGTTTCAACTTATTTCGGCTGGTATATCCGTTGGAAAATTCATTAACAATTCTTTTTTTCTTTACAGTGGATCGTGACGCCTGAATAGGAGGTGATCATGATGTAATAAGTTTGATAAGGCTGTAAGCGAAGTCACGGAAACGCAGGAAAGAAGCGGAGATGTTGGTGAATGAGAAACGGAAACAATGTCTGTCCCTCTCTATCCTCGCTATGATCGACAAAGTTTGGAAAGGTGGTCGGGTAAACTCGCTCGACGAGTTCGCTATTTAATTATAACTGTGCATTACTCATTCCAGCAACCGCCCCACGAAGAAACTGCAAGCCGCCCCCGCGGTGGTCCCGATGAGGATGCTGGGATTCGATATCGTTTAGGAAATTTGCGTGAAACGCAAACCCCGCGAACTTATCCGATTCGGAGCAACGGCACATGTTACCCCCATTCGAGTGATACTTTGTTTAGTAATAGAGGAACGCGTTGAAGGATATACGATTTCCAAGCCAAACTCGACGCGCGAGTTTGATCCTGTAATGTTGTCGAGGAACATACTCGAACTTGTCGCACCGAAATGAACAGACTTTCAGGATGATTGAGAAACTCCTAGAACCAGACCGTTATTTCGTGTAAGCATTACTTTTGGGAGTGATGCGCAAACATGAAGAGGGTATTGTAAAAGTCTCTAAGCAATATTTGCTCCAACAAAGTTCAACAAATTAAAACATCGATCGAAGTATCACAGATGACGTAAAAATGATATGTCCAGCATAGTAATAATTTTGTCTGTAATGTTACGATTGTTTACTCAGTGACAAGATCATTCGCGTGATCCTCGTCATTATCGAAACTAATATAATAGATACGATTATCCGTATGGAAACCTAATGTTCATATTGTTCCATTGTTCTGTATTCCAAACAAAATAAAATAAGCGTATAATAAAGACACGATTAAAGAACGAAATTATTACCTTCAATACGTACACACATCATATTTTGTGTCTTTCAATTTCTAAACTGTCCAACTTGTTTAATGTTTCTTTTGGTAGCGTTCCGTAGCGTCAGTGTGTTATTGTCTGCAAAAAGATCGGTCTAGCGAGCCTGATACATCGTTTAAGTGGAATCTTTCTCCGAAGGAATTACTTCGACTTTAAGATATTTCCTATAAGAATTTTCCGATATCGTGACGATAATTTAATCCGACATCATTTCTATTCGTACGGAACGGACAGGCTTAAATATGGAACGTCCGCGAACAAGGCTGGCCTGGATCATCACGAAAGAGTGAAGCTCGAGGAAATCAATTCTCAACTTACCTGGCATCTTCCCAAAGACACGATGTGTACGTGAATCTTTTGTATCTGACCGAGAATGTCCGTATTCTGTAATCGAAACAAAAATAAATTATTTTCGCTTCGTAATACACTTTATATTTTGCTCATTACTACGATTGACTTGCTCTATATCGTGATAATACAAAACAGCTATGAAACCAGTGAAACAGAAAAAGGACCGTAGGTATGATAATTTCGTAAACTGTCTCGGTACCGTAAAAAACGTAAGTATCGTTCTGTTAAACGATGACATAATAAGTCACGTACAAAAGACAATCAATTTACGCGCGTACGTAACCGTTGTACATAACTATGGCCACCGTCTAATTATAGTCCCTTATAGTACATATCGGTGTGTTTTCAATTAGAACAAAAATATCATTTCCGTGTTTCCATCGAACGACCCGTCACAGATTACGTGTAACATTACTAGGAAACGTTAACGACTCGAGGTGGAATTTATTGGATCAAAGTACAAGGAAATCTTTTGAACGAATATTAAAAAACACTACAAAATCACTGAACAGAGACAATCTGATATCGGTTGAACTCTCCAAATTAATTTAAGTGCCAGAAATAACCGGTAACAAGCTCCGCTTTTTTTCTGTTATCCTCGTGCAAACACGATTGTCATTACGATTCCTTCGAGTTACGTGTAATTACGTGGTTCTTAGAGCCTGTTTTGTAGATCAGTAAAAGTGAACTGACTTACATTGGGGTCATCCTTCAGCTTGCCCACGCAGATCTGAAATTTAAAGAGAAAATTCAGAGTTAATGTCATGTCAAAAAAATAGCGATCAAAGTCACCTCAGAATATCGTTTCGCTTTTAGAACGATAAACGCATCTTCGGTTATGCGGTGACGTAATTTACATAGATGCCGCGCCCTTGTCGCATTAGAAAAGTATTCGAATAAACACCCATGTTTCGAACTTTGTGTCCTTGAAAAACACGATGTCAATGCCTTCTCATATATTTTTTGAATTTTACAAAAAGTTTCGTATGTGTTAGATTAATTCGAAACCTTTGAATGGTTATTACACTACTTAGTTAAAAAGACATTAGGAATGTAACAGTATTAATAATTTAACAAATTATAATGTACATTTATTTATTTGCATAAATAGTAATAGTGACCTTGAAAAAGTATTTTTCGAACTTTCTAAAATTCACAAATCAATATCGTTTCGCACCTGCTCTTCTACAATCGTCGCGCAACGAAAATGTCCAACGAACGAGAACAGGTTTGCCCTATCCGGTACATGATACGCCGAATACGAATATCGATCTATTTATGTAACTGACACGGCTGTTAACTAACAGCCACGTGTTACAAACGCTTCTAATACTTTCATATAAACGTCATTTCATTAATGAGAATTCGGTAAAAAAATAACAGGATATAAAGGTATTAAAAACGGATCGAGCTCTATCAATCGGAACTGTAACGAAAATATTCAATTTCGAGGAGTTACAGGGGACAAGGTCGGTAGAGCAGGGCACAATGCTAATCGCGCGCCGAGAAACTTTCCCCCGCGCGCATATCCCTCTAGTGTGTCTACTAGTTAATAAAAGTTTGCTCGTAATGGGTGAAGTAAGAACACGCGTACTACGATTCGATAATATCCTTTTATATATGCTAACGTACGTTCGAATCGCATCGATAGAATAGCTTGACCCTTAACGCATTTATAATACAGAGTTATCGACGCCAAAGAAGCGTTAACAAAGGATTTCAAAGAAGGGGACAATATTAACATTTTAACGATAAGTTTCATACCTGTTCAGTTGGTAAACTGGACGTTTCTTATTAAATGATTTGCTCCAATGTACATAATATTGCGAAGTAATAAAGATAAAGAAATTTTTATAAACAAGTAAAGATTGGAAGAGAAGTAGGGGATATAATGAAAAAAAGTGGAAGTTAATTATCTTGTTCGTGGAAGTAAAAGTGATCGGAATACCAGCATGGGCAAATTAAAGTTTACAAAGCTGGTTAAAAGAAACAATAAACTAAGCGAAGCCAAAAGTAGGGAAGAGAGATAAGAGCACGAGAAAGGAAGAGTTAGGACTATAGAAGTTAGAACGAACGAGTAAGAGTGAGAGAGAAAAAGAGAGAAAGATGAACCGAACAAGCGAGTAAGTGAATGAACGAGCGAGAAAGACAGTATGTTCGTTCTCAAAGTCATACGACGCATCGGTCGAAACACTCTACCAACAAAGGTTAAGGTCTGAACACTCGTTCACCTTCGAGTTCTGTGATTCGTAAAAAAATGACCGCAGTTCGGTGCAAACTTGCGGCATGATTTAAAGCGAGCAAAAGTTCCTACGGAACTTGTTACGCTTCTTTCACTTTCGATAACGCACATTACCCATGCAGTTGATTCTGGAACCGTTTTACAAATGTCCAATACCAATGAAAGGAATGCCGGGATACTTTTATAAAATAAATCGAAGAGACGTGTTTGCCATTTTAGAGACTTCGATTCCGTTCGCGTGCCACATTAAACCGGACATCTTTGATCACGTTCATTAATTCACGAAACTTCGAAGAATTCACGTTGAAGAAACAAGTTCCGTAAATACAGTATAGGAGATATGCATTTATGCAGGCGCGCGCGTGCCTGGTGCGTACATGCGTTCATGCACGCATTGTGCGTGGAAATGCCAGAAAAACTGAATCACGAAAGAACCAGTTTAAAAGAAACTTTAGAAGTTATTTGATTCTGCTTAAGCATCGCGACGCTCCCCCTTGAAATAACAGTTTCACGTTCGAATTATTTCTATCCAAACTGTTCGAAAACTTTTGTCACTTTGTCCGTTGATTATCTACCGAGCCTGCTATCTAGATTTTTTAATCGATAGGAGAGACAGCATGTATAACAGAAGTAAAAAATTTGTCGAGCAAGAATTATTTGTGAACTTGTTTGCTCGCTCGTTCCTTCGGCTTCGTACTCTGAATCTTTAAATCGCTATCGACATACGTACATGCACAGTCGCGGAACTCACCTGATGATCGCGTATGGCATTTTTCAGTTTGTTTTGCACAGTGAGAATCTCTTCTTGCAAGCACTTCGATATTTCCATGTTTTTACTATGCGGCTATTCGTTTTTCCTCCCTGTTCAAAAATCCGGCTGATTTTAGCGAGAGAAGAGGAGGACGGGAATCCCCTCCTCCCTCTCACTCTCACTCTCCCACCAAATTGACGAGAGCAGCGGTATACGCTCCGATCAACCGCACGCACGGCGCGCACCAACCACAAACTCTTCGAGCCACTGCGACGACACTTGACCGTTTTAACTTAGGAAAATCGAACAGGTAAAAATGTCACAGACACAGTTCGCCGCTTCGTTACACGCGTACATATGCACACCCCTGTTTCACAGCACCGATCAGACGAAATAACGTCGTGAAACCGCGTACCAAAGTGAATTGTTCGCTCATCAACGAGCGTCTGTGCTGCCACCAGCACTGTTGCCTCCGTACACGGACGTGCCAAGTTGCTCGAGATCCCCTGACACCCCCTGGCCGTAACCCTCGATCTTTCTCTCTTTCTCCCTCTTCCTTTCTTCGTCCCTCCTGCTGTGTTGTATGCCCAGGGATCCGACGCGCTCCTTGAAAGCGAGTTTTCGCGCCAAGCTCGTGCACCGGTACGTTTGTCCCGCGGAACACCCTACAAACCTGTGGTACAATATTTAATCACTTGCACCCCCGTCCACGTTGAGCAATTGGTTCGAATTATGTCCGCGACATTACAAAAGCGCCGAATGTTCAAGGAAAACATTTTCTCAAGACGGATCTTTTATGATAGTGAACGTTGGTAATGCCGGCGATAGTGGCGCCACATATTTGGGAATATGAAACGAAACGGCGTTCTCGATAGGAGACAAGCATGTTCGTTACCCGAAGCCCAGAGTCGCGTTTCCGAATTTCTGCGCATTTGAAGACACGTCTTAACATGGTTACAATTTTTAGGCACATTCAGTTAGATTAAGAGTCATTTCGTGCAATTTCTTTCATTAACAAAAACTCCAGTTTTTTTTCTATATATGCCTCTGTTAGAATAGAGAGTATTGTTTATGTATTCGACATTTACACTTTTATGCTCTTGCTTATTCATGAGACTGTAAAATAATGAATCTATTCCTTAAATAATCTATAACTGTAAATGTGGAAATAAAAAGGCTTACCAGTTATTTGTTGTTGCAACAGAAATCATATAAAAATGTGTTCATTTTTTACTATACAAAACTATTTTGCGAAATAGAAATTCAATTATTTGTAATTAAATGCGCTCACAACGTCAGAGATTTCATAATATGGTAATATTTGTTGCTATAGGAAATACAAATATATAGAAAGTGTGCAGTTTAAATCGATCATCTGCACGTGATAGCAGATCACGTGATTTCTTATCGCATACCATGTCATTCCGGCTACATGTATATAAGTTCATGGGTGTATGCTACAAAAATGTCTTCATCATTATGAAAAGCATTAGTATTACAAAAATATAGATTGTCCTTTTCGTCTGAATGTGATTTTTTAGTAATACAAGTTAAAGAGATAACGTCCATTAAATAAATTCTTCCATCAACGAACTGTATAAATTTAGGATATATGTAGTACAAAATAAAAATATCAAAACAATATAGTACGTTTGTGTTAACTTTTTCAAAACTTCGAAAAATATTGCATTTGTACTAAATTACTGTTTTGTTTACTTGGGGACTTGGGGAACATAACTTATGTATGTAATGTATTCAGTAAATATCGAATCTAAACTATAGGAATGAACTATATAAACATGTTTATATCTAATTTTTCATATTTAGATGCAACTTAGTACTTATTTCAGTAAATATACTAGGTGTAATTGATATAAACTCGATGGTTACTGGAACTATTACATTCAAACTAAAAAAATGTCTGCAAGTTTGTAATAACTATTCTATTTAAAATTGTTTCATAAAGGTTTCGTTACCTTATTGGTGTACGTGGATTAAAGAATATATGTATATCACATTTAGGTTCCATAAAACAGAACTAAAATTAATTTAATTTTGTCGTTTAACCTTTTAAGATTTAGTTCCTTCGTTAGATATATGGTCACAGCCGACTCTAAGAGTCGACTGTGATATGGTAGATACAATCGAAAAGTGCGCATGTCCGAATCTTGGAAAAGTGTGCTTGTTCCAAGTCTGTCCAAGTTCTGATATACGTTAACCGTATACTGTTACCTACGTGTATGAAACTTATTTAAATTAACCAGTTACTAGTGTCCATTTGATTAGGTAAATATCACAATGCTATACAATCCATGTTTTGATTAAATCAAATTTTAATATCATACTTTTACAAAGCTTAGGAGGTTATATTGTGACTTTCTTAACTGTCTCATTTAAAAGATGTATTTTTTCGTTGTTTTCCAAAGTTGGTTAATGATACATTGTAATTGTAATTGTTTACCTGACAGCAACTCTATAATTTATTCGACATAGAAACAGTAGACAATGTATATGCATACCTGAAGTCTTAACCTCTTTAATTTATTATAATGATTTCGGTGATAGTTACAATTTTTTTTACTAAACCGTACGCGTATTTAATTTTCTATTTTGTTGAATAGTATTAAAAATGTCGGCTAAAAGGTCTGCAACTACAGAATTGAATCATGACAACTGGAACGAAGAACATGAACCTGAAGAAGCAGGAACATTCACGAAAGCAACTAACGATATACTCGAGAAAAGAGTTGTTAAAAGGGCAAAGCGTCGTTTGCAAGCTACAGATGTAAATAATTTTATTACTTTTACGTTTCTGAATTAAAACATTTTTTTTATTTTAATTATAACTTCTACTTTGAAATATTTTTCAGAGTAATACCAAAAGTGCATTCGGTGCATTTGCAGGTTTTAAAACAACAACACCCTCTGCAGTACAGAATTCGTTTAGTTTTTTAGCTGATAGTAATGCTCTTAAGACATCAAAAGCAGATACAAATGTTAACAAGTCTTCTGCAAGTAACGGGGCATCTAAAGGTAGTGAAAATGGTACAAATAAGAAGGATAATTCAGAAATACAGACACCTAGCACAACTACAAGTAAAATAAGTGGCCAAGAAGATCAAAATGTGTTTAAAAAGTCTTCTGATTATTTTGCCAAGTTGAAAGGTTTAAATGAAAGCGTAGCACAGTGGATTAAAAGTCATGTAGATGCAAACCCATTTTGTATATTAACACCTATTTTTAAAGATTATGAAAGGTATCTTAAAGAAATTGATGCTAAACATGGAAATGAATCTGACAAAGTAACACATACTTCAGAGCAAGACCAATCGGAGCATAATAAAGTTAATGACAACAAAGAAACTGCAAGTACAGAAAAGGAGGTTGATAGTTCCCCATTTGGAGGATCAAGTACAAAATCTCCTTTGACATCAACAGAATGGAAGCCTGAAAAATCAGTTTTTGGCAGTATTAGTGCAGGTTCTAAATCTGTATTTGGTAAATCAGAGTATACTATAGATAGTGGTAAGGGTATTTTTGGTAATGCAGAGCAATCTACTGACACACAAAAGTCTGTCTTCGGTAATGTTGATAAAGCTGGTACAAAAAGTGTATTTGGAAATGTCAGTTCTGAAAAAAATCCATTCTTCAGTAAACCGTCTACAGATAAATCAGAAGAACAAGATTCAACAACAGATTCAAAATCTACTAGTAGTTCTTTTGGTGGAACAAATACTTTTTGTTTTGGTCAAAGTTCTACTACTAATCCTACAACAGGCTTTAGTTTTGGAGGGTAAATTTGTTATATTTACTAATTCTTTTAAGGATGAGTAACAATAAAATTGGAAACATATAGATAATATTAATTTACAGGGCCAAACCATTTACCTTTGGTACTCAAGTAGTACAACCAACAGAGGAAGATGAGGAACCACCAAAAGTAGAGATTAAACCAATAACAGAAGAAGGTGCCATATATGAACAAAGGTAAAACTTTATAGTAAACACGATTGTAATAACAAAATTTACTGTTGTACTTTCTTACAGATGTAAAGTTTTTATCAAAAAAGATGGTAATTATACCAGTAGGGGTGTTGGAGTATTGTTCTTAAAGCCAACGCCAAATGATAAAACACAATTAATAGTACGTGCGGAGAATTCTTTGGGAAACTTATTGCTCAATACTTTATTAACTGAAAGTATTCCAACAAAACGTATGACTAAAAATTCCATAATGCTGGTTTGTCTACCAAAACCTGAATCGTCACCCCCGCCAGTACCAGTCTTGATAAGGGTGAAAACAGAAGAAGATGCAGATGCATTAATGGATGCACTTAATAAACATAAGAAATAGGATGTATAATAGGTAATATTAGAATCTGCGAAAGACACATGTGTTAATTATGCAACGCAATTGAACAAAAAAAACAATAAAGAACATAGTAAAATCGCGTAGAATGGTGACTGAAAAATTTTTAAGGACAGAACACGATTTTGTTGTTATTGAATATAAATTCATGATTATTGTAATATTTTTACTTTTAATGTTTAGCATAAAATGTCATGTAAAATAGAACTTGAGAAGTTGAATATTTTTTATTCTCCATTTCACGAAACGTACTTTAAGGATATCGTTGCTGTAGGTAATATTAATATAAGGATGTGTAATTATAAAATAAACGTGAATCCAATTTAGAATAATTAAGATATATAATTACTTACAAAATTGTCGTAAGTATAGACGACAACTTGTATAAATTGTATATATTAGTTTAAATTTATTTTCGTTACTATACTTTACACATATAGGTAACATGAAGACAATTTTTTAATGCAAAAACACATATTTATAATTAATAATGTTTTTCCTTTTTAAGTAACTTCTTTAATATTTCTCAAATAAAAAAGAATATTATACTTACTTAAATAATTTTTACGAATAAATTCATACTTCATTCATCATTAAATGCAAACTATTTCACAGTTCCTATATTTATAATTTATAACATTAAAGTATTAGAATTCACGTGTCCTCTTTGTGTTGTAAAACAATAAAATAAGTCTTTTATTCATGGTTATAAATAAAATTGTGAACTATCACAAAAATCTATAAAACAATGTTTATATTTAAATATTTACTTGTAATAGACACAGTTTGTTATCAAAGCATTTATATTCAAATTAACTGTAATAGTTTTTCAAGCATAATTGAAATACCTTTACAGTTTACTGAAAACATGGTTCTTATGTGAAAAATGAATGAAACATGTTAACTACGTTAATATAAACTTAATTGACATCAATTAAAGTTCTATAAATGTTTTCATACAACTAAAATATTGATAACTATCTCAAGCAAAGACGTTAGACATTTACTTAATTGATAAGTTTTAAACTAACTTGCACATAGTGTTACATAATGCATTCCACATTTATGTTTACAGTTTTTTAATTTACTGCATCTGGTACTAATCAAGAACAGCACACTAATGTCAATAAAATAAATTTAAAAAGAATTGTATATTTCTAATCATTCATAGTGTATTTACAATGTGTTATGCAACCTTGTTGCATATGTGTAATATACAGAACCATAGGGACTTATCCTTAATGATACTAATGTACTAAGTATATATTAATAATCTTTGCAATTATTTATAAGCAAAAACCAGACTATACAAAATAAAAATGTGATAATTTAAAGTTGAATTTCTATATGATGTTTATGAAAGCTGCCACTGTAAAACATACATAGTCTATTTACAGCAGTATTAATGTAAGGTTTAATAATTGATAAGCACTTAATTTCTTAGTATATTAAACTGTGAAGCTCACATGTAAATCCTTTAAACATGAACATGTTAAACTGTTTAATACAATTAATAACACAGCATATTATTCTAAAAAGCATATGTAAAATGTGGCTTAAAAATGGTATTAGAAATATTGTATGTACAGTGTAGTGGAATACACATTTGCATCCTAATAATATAGGTACTCTTTACTAATGATATGCCCTATACAAAAAGATAGTAAAATAAAGTTGAATTTTCTTACAAAATATTGTAGTAATATGTTCTACACTTGTTTTAATATTGTACATCTTTAAAAGTATCGTGAAAGTTAATTTCATATTTGCTAAGCCCTCTGAGCCATAAATGGTGTTAAAGCACCTCTTTGTCCAAGACCTAATTGTATATGTTGCATGTGTATTTCGACACAATTTTGAAAAACTTGTTGATTTTGTGGACTCAATTTTGAACGTATCTGTTCTATAGTGCCCTGCAATACCTTCAACTCGTATGCATTTCGATCCGAATCTGACAGACTCTAAAACATGAGAAAGATTGCATTAACAATAGTACAAAAAAGTAGTATCTTTATTAAATTACTAGTTAATCTCACCTTCACTTGAAGCATAAGAGCTGTTAAATCTGTTATTAATTGTGTCATCTTTCCAGGTTCCTTGTCATTGACAATATTATTTCTAGTAACCATATCTGCTGCTTCTTGCCTACATTTTTCACGAAGATGAGATGGTGCGAGCATAGCAGCAACACTAGGTTCAGGAGCCATTTCTTGACACAGTTCTTGAACATCATTCAGAAAATCTTGAAGTGCGGTATTCATCTTTTCCAATTCAACCACAATCCTATGAACAATATGATTGCGTGTAAACATCTATAGGTCACAATACATATTATTAATAATTTATCAAATACCCTGCGTATCTCCTTTCAAAGTCTGGTGGAAGCGGTTCTCCAAAGGATCGTCTTTTTTCTGCTTCGCTATTCATCTCTCTTAATTTTTTAATTTTTATTTTCTTAGCAGTTAATATTTTATTTACTTTCACCATAAACTCGAGCAGTTTTAAAGGATAACCATTCATTGTTCCACCAATGTGTGACTTCTTTGGTAAGGAAACAGACGCATTAGATATTAAAGGATCACTGTTCAATCGTGGTGACATCAACTTCATCGCATATGGGGGTGATGGTACATATTGTACGTGTCTAGGTCTAAACTTTTGTGCAAATGAAGCGACGCTTATTGTTTCTGGTGGTTCGTTTGACTGTAAATTATATATAACAACATGTAACAATTATGGCATGGTTAAGTTTTACAATTACTTGTGACATATGTACATACCAGTACTTCATAATCTGGGACACTGTGGGTTCCAAGTCCAGCACGTTCAAAAGTAATTCTATAGGTATTATTACTTGTATCTACTGCATCAATACTTCCAGTGAACAATCCATCTTGTGGTTTTCTCAGTCTTGCTGTAACTTTGGTACCTATTACCAATTGCAATGGTATTTCTGGTGGCAAGTCTTTAAAACTGTTAACGTCTGCAGCTTTTCGCTGTTGTAACATTCGAATTTTTTGTCTTTTCCTCTCTAGCTCCCGTCTCTCTTCTTCAAAAAATGACTGTGAGCACCTCCGTGGTTTGCCCATCATTCTTCTTATTTTGCACCATTCAACACGGGTTAATTTCCGAGTTTTTAATTGTGGAAACGATTCTTTCAGGCATATCATAAAATCATTATCACCTTCAAATAGTGTCCTGTAAAAAAATGTAATTTTTAGTTGTATTACATTAAAAAATACCAGTTCATATATATTTATAAAAATCACACATACTTATCAATGTTACTATAAAACCATTCGTAACAAACCCACTTGTGAGCCTTTGGTAATTTCAATAAGTTTCTTAATCGCATACCAATCTTTTGTCCAATTTTACGGTCTGGAGATGAAGGTTGTATTGGTTTATCAGGTTCTTTTTCTTGCTTAATTGGAGTCATTGAAGGTGTTAATGGTCGACTCAACATATTGTTGCTTTTCCTTGGCTCATTGGACATTCTATTTTGTTTTTTTGCTGGTGATGGTCTGGGTACTTTCTTAGGAGATTGCTTATGATCCGGATGTGATGGGTCCTTTTTAATTCTAAAACACACATTTGAATTAAAATGTATGTTAAATTCATCGGTGTTTATATAATATGTATAAACTTACCTGTGATGAGGATGATTGACTAATATGTCATCATAAAATAATTTATTTTTTTTTCTTATTCTTGCTGGCATCCCTCTGCGGTTTAAAACTTGAACTGGTTGAGTAGGAGGATTCGGTTTTGGAGGAGGTTGAGTACCTACTCTTTGAAGTCCTAAAGCTGCGGGACCAAGCTCAGGAATTGGATCGGATTCTTCTGTATCCATGTGTGAATCCGTTGAGTTGTTTGAAATTTGATGATCATCCATATCCATTGTGTCATCGTCGTCAATTATTTCAGTTTTGATTTCGTCGATCAATGGATAACCCCCATTTTTTATAGACAATAATGTTTCAGCAGATTCACCTACGGTAAACAGATTCCTAATACATTGAATGAAAAAGTTCATCGAATAGGTAATATAATAATATTACATTTTCTATGTGTTTCTGTTTTATATTGCACTCGTTATGTTTGTAAGTTCATACGCACTGTTTCATTAAATACAGGAGATACTTAATACACTGCCATTGTAAAAATATTTTGAAAAATAAAATTATATTTACATTTTTTGTAAGTACTCTGAAGTTTATACTTCCTAATATTACATACTATAATCTATTGAGTATTCATTACAGATACAAAATTGATGCACATAGTTATTGATATCAAATATAATAATTTGTGAACAGAAAATTTTGTTGCTATTGTTTGTTCGAAATAGTATCATTTTGAAAGTTATTCGAATCGTTGTATCAAAAAGAAACCAGTACTCAATCATTTTGTTTCTAAGGCCCGACATAACCAAACTTACACGTAGTTCCATAAACAGTATATGTACTTATAATCAAGACAAAAGTCAAAGTTACTGATTTATTAATATTATGAATACTACAAAGCATAGTAAAAAGTATTCGTTTAGAAAGTATCGCCTGGCAAATAGAGATTTAAACGGAAAAGATCTTTGCCGTCCCGCTTGAAATGTGTATTGGTCATTTTTGAAATTTTAAACCAGACCCATCTGAGCGCAATTAAAACACCAACTGTAACTTAATAAACAGCCTTGAGATTAATCTTACGTGTCGACATGGTAGATCTCGAAACATTTATCCTTCTCGTAAAGCTACTTTTTTCTATTTAATTAATCCTCGTTAGATTAATTTTATCAAGAATAAGTTAACTTTTACTCACTTTCAATCATCTCCGCCATGTTGCTATCAATGATGCATCATGGGTATGTATTTCCGTAGAGCTTGCCCGCTTCGCGGTGAATTTCGCTGGTGGTTCTTTTCCATCGTTCCAAACGCTGTGATTGGCTGAAAATTAGTTTGAACGTGGAACCAGTACCCGTGGAATTTTCAAAACTATATTAAAGTTACACGTGTACATTACATGGATAAAATTAAATATGGTGAAAAATCCGATGTAGTTCACAAAGATTACATAGTGTATGTTAAACAAATAAAACAATTTATCTTTATATCATAGGCATATAGCACTATCGAACACGATGTTATATCTGCTACTAAATTAACTGCAGTAGCTAACAATGAATGTAGTTAACATTTTCAATACCAATGTGCCAAAAATGTATCAAACGAAGGTTTTTTGGTTATTATTCATTATTCCATGGGTCGGGGCAGATAATATCGTTTCGATCGACAGTTCCGTAGCGCCTACTAAATATTGTAGAGATAAAGAAAGATTAGTAACGTCTGAAGAAATTGATGAATATTTACTCATTAGCTCCGAGATTGATACGATCGTTATAATGGAATGTCGTTTTTGGTATGAAATACAAATTTATTGATTAAAAAAATTGAATATTCTATCATTGTATCTATTTTTACAATTCAGTAATGATAAAGAGGAGAAACAGACAATGATTTGGTACTATCAAGATCGGTATAGAGAAAATTCTGAGAAAGTGGTTCAATTGGGAATGGACAATAATATCTCGTATAACAGAATCTATACGACTCCCGCTCTTTCCTTGGTAATTAAGCATCTTGACGTCACAGACGCTGGTATTTATCTATGCCACGGACTGGAAGGACAGGAAACTGAAAACAAATTCAACTACAGAATCGAACGTAATACTCTGAACTTTACATTTGAAATGTAACAACAATTTATAGCCGGGTCGGAGTTAGAATCGCCTTAATGGGTAGGGGAAATTCTCTGAGAACCTCTATTTTTCTCATAACCCTATAGTCTCAGACATTTCAAATACTATAAATATTGTATAATCCTCTCCCCTTAATTAAATGAAAGATTTATAAATTGATATCATTTGAATTTTAATGTTAAATTTAAATTGTTTTATATGCTTATAGCGTATAGGAGTTGCTAAAAAGTCTTTATTTTCCTTGAAGACACAAATTTGTTTGTCTTTATAAAAGCTTCTAGAACAAATTACATTTGTATAAACATTCGTAATTCAGCTGTAGCCATATTTCAACCAAATCGGGGAAGACTATATTAGACAGGAAGAGTAATGGAAGGTTCTGTATATGTCGGTTCTCTACTCGTTCCGACTATAAACCTACAAATGTGATTACTCAAATTAATATTCTGTGATAGCCGTTTTTAAGGATCATAGCGTCGTACACACGGAACGAGGGAACATAACTGAATGGGAAAGATATCGGGAAATATATCTGGGAACGATTACCACTCGATTTGCCGTAAGACTAATTGTGAATCAATCCGATATACATTCATAAATAATCCACCCTTTTCGTTTGTCAATTGGATTGTGGCCTGTGTTAGGTGTCTCAAATGTCGGAATTGGCTGACATCCGAGACGTTGGAATAACGCTACATGTAATTTCTGAATGGGCGTCTTGGAGCCTTTGCGAGCGTTGTATAGGTAACCGGGGCTACAAGACGAGCGTAGGAAAGTGCCGACTAAAACGTTTGATAAATGCGGTAAGCATGTCATTTATTGCCGTTGAATTCGATGCATTAAATCATTGTCATCGTTGTTACAGACGATTGCAAACAATAGCGATTCATCGATAGTGAAGTTCTTTCGAAGATCTCCTTTATTGCCTTGCAAGTGGGTGGGTCGGCTAACTGATATGTACAATCATATGTATGCCTTTGCCATACATTCCTTGAGTTATATGGTTCTCTGTTTAAGGTCTATTCTTCTCGAACACGAATTTCCTGGTGTCAGTACAGCGGTGAAACATTTACCGGACTTCATCTTGGAGGAGCGATGTAAAAAATGTGTAGGCAGAAAGAAAAAGACTAGAAAGTACAGATACGTCAAGCGATTCGTGCTTACGGAAGGAGCTTACCTCACCGTCGTCTGTCCAGAGTAAATTTATCAATTTATAGAATTTTCAAGCAGGTTTGTACAAGGTTCGAAATACTCGCGGTATAGATCGAGCTTGGAAACGCAAGTATCATGGAAAAAGGATTCAATTACGCTGGAGAAGGGTGTCCGTCGATCATTTCGCAAGTTGGACCCAACCGCTCGAGTGGTGGTAGACGCTTTCGGGACGCTTTATCTGATAGGTACAAGAAAATAAATTACACCCATTATGTGACAACGTATCACATTTTTATTCTTTCGTATGTGTGTATCAGACGTGTCCATTCACGAGGGAGGGAACTACACGTGCTCCATCAATAATGTTAACGTGATGCAACTGAAAGTTATCATTGTTCCTAAAAGTAGACTCCTGACGCGAGGTGAGATTTTCATGAACTATTTAACAAATAATAATGACGGAATCTTCCGAGCGATGAAATATAGGCACACAATGCTTTGGTGTAAATTTTTCTACAGAATTTCTACGCCATTTGGGATATTTGGGATTCATATTCGTCCTTTGCTTCCTTTGCTATTGCAGCGGCTTGGTTCACACGTACAGGCGGAGAAACCAATTTCAACAACGAACTACGATCGACCAAAGAGAAAATGGAGGGAAAGAAGAAGAAGAGGAACCACTTCTTACTGATCAGACTTAATGAAATACTACCTGGAAGATCTTGAACATACAATAAGACAATAATATTAGCTCGTTTGTAGCGTTTTGGGCGCAGTGTCTTTATTACTTTTTTACTGCAGAAACAAAGTATCAATTGATCTGGCGAACGTATTTTATGTGAAAAATGGAGAACTATAGATTGCCTCATTACTCTTCAAACGCTACAAACTTTTCAAGCAAACCAGCATATTGTGTAGCATGTTATAGTTTGCCACATTTTTTTCATAATAGTACATTAACATCGCGTTCCGTGTTCGTTTACCGACCGAGTCTTTCGTTCTGAAAGCATTTTCACTGTTCAATCTTCTCAAACACGTTGATGACCTTACTGGTAGCCGAGTGAAAGGAGTATCTGGGAGGGACAGCTGCATGGCGTACGTGTCCGCTTCTCATAGTCATAGTTTAGTTCCAAAATGGCCGTGTTTGATCGTCCCTGTGTCTCTGTTGCACACGGCACTGTTTACGAGTGACGGGTTTCAATTGAAAATTCAAACCCAGCCGATAATAGACACTCGGCAGAATGATTCGTAGGACGAGTGTTGCCGTTCTGTTCGCGATCCTTAGCATGGTTCTACTTCAGGGAGCAACCGGTGAGTTTCGTGCACAGATTGCATCTATGTGCGCGGGCGCGGGCCAGCGCGTGATGCAGCAATGTCGTACTTTCACCGCATACCGGACAGCGCATCCTTTCCGTAAACCGTTGCTTTTTTTTCTTTTCCTCCAATCGGCCGAACGTATTAAGACACCTTTGACGAAACTGAAGATTTATATCGCTCAGCCGGGGTTACGAAGCCGAATCGGTGTCTAATTTATCGTCCCTCCGTTCTAGGTCTTCTCCGTAGATGCGTGAATTGTAGATCGAGAGGTGATTTAGGATCGTGCAAGGATCCTTTCACTATGAACTCGACGGAGATCGAAATGGAAAGAGGTGTGGATGCTGTCCCCTGTGCGTCAGGATGGTGCGGAAAAATCATCGAGAGGCATGGTTTGAACAATGGTAAGGATCGGACAATTAATCGTTATATGTAAATAAGCATTATAACTCATTTGGTAATACGATTTCCAAATATGGGTACAAGGTTATTCTGTATTTTAAAAATATTTTTACTCTTTCGCGTAGAATATGGCACTGCCACGCAGAGGCTTTGTTTTCAACGGGGCCCCGATGACGGCGAGGAAAGGTGTGCTTACACCGTGTGGAATTACAAGAAAGTGTACATGTGCCTTTGCCATGGCGACTTGTGCAACGGAACAACAAAACTGAGCATCACCAACGGATTAATTTTCACGACGTTTTGTGTTCTACTTCGATGGTTCATCTGACATCGCTGGAACTGAACTGAATGTATATTGCTGTATAAAAAGTTCCTTGTATCTGTACATGACGCGATACTTTTAACTTTTCTCATGTATCCAGTACGTTTTAAAACGATGGTTTGTCAGTAAGTCTAGTGAAAGATGTGTAAAAATATATATCTTTATTTATGATTACGTATTTTATGTATTTTACTCGCGATGAAATTGCAGCGCGATAAGTTTTACGCAATAAATTCTGGTGAAACATGGGATGGAAACGAACGGGATATTTAGCTGTATTAATTACGATACATTGCAATTTGTGTAAATCAGACTCGTGAAAGTTTTTACTGCAGACTGTCCACGAACGATGATGGCACGTGTATATATTTCTGATACATCAGTTTCGCGCCCGATCCACAAACACCATTATATTCAACGAGCAAATTGTTAATTGAATTAGTAGTTATGGAATTGTATGTAGCTGTTTCTCTTGAAATGTATTAAATTGAATTAAAACGTATTAATGAAGTGAAAAGAAGATAAATTTTTAATTATTTTTCAAAACATTGAAATACATGCAAAATTGCTTAACAGATAAAACAGAATTTAATATCCAATTAAGATAGTATATAGGGCCGTTGTAAATTCATTAATCTCGTATTTAAGAAGAACGATAGTTTTCTGTACGAAGATACGATAAATAAATAATACGATCATTAATTAATCAAGGTTTCCTATAGAATGGAGATGTGGGTCTCAAACTCCTTAATACGTGGTCATGAAGACCGTTTTGCCTCCTTTCTTGTTGGTTCCTTAGCAGCGCCCTTTCGTGCGGAATTTCGTCGTAAAACAGTTCACCGAGGCCGTAAAGATATTTCACCGCTATCATCGCCTTCTCGCCAGTCAGTAGATACGGATCATGGTACACTAAAACATTAAAAAGCTAGAAATGAAGATTTTTTCGTTTTTAAAACTCTTGCTTAAAGTAAATTATACAAAGTAACGACAAATCTATCCATAAAGACTTGGGCTAAACCAAAAGAAAAAATAGTAATCCACTTAGTGTTTATTTTCGTCGACAATATTTCTCACCAAGCCCGTTAGAAAAATCAGGCGTCATGTGTCTCCTTTCATGTGAACTGTGCCCAAGATCATTAACATCTACTGGTGGGAGGAAAACACCAACTGGCCACAGGGATTCCGCGTTTTCTGGTTTAATGTATACGGGTATGCTATTTCTTGTTGCGCTCAGACGTTGTCCTAAAAAGAGATGCATGAATCACCGTTTGCGGTAACACCGTTAAACATTTCAATGGCCGTATTTCATTAATTAAAGGTAATGTATCGTACCGAATCTCGAGTTTCCTGTCGTACTCCTTCTCCCGATAGAGACGTAGGATCTCTGGTCGATGGTTCGATCCCCTGTGAGATAACAATCGATTTTACACGTTGCCGCAAGCATTGTTTTTTTTTTTTTTTGAAAGCAGTACACGATGTAATTACATTTATGGACTAACCGTCTGTCGTAATACCGTGCTCGTAAATGTGGGGAGGGGAAATAAATTTCACGTGTACCTTCGAGAGGGGCAAAGCTCTAGTTGCTGCTATCGCAACTAGGAAGACCACCGCTTTCATCTGTAATTAAAATTCTTGACTGTTCAACCGTTTCTCGGGAACCTCGACAATTTGAACGATGAATCCTTCAGCCGCGTTATGAGGGGTCATATTCAAACTTCGCCATAGAAAGTGTCCTCAGCAAACTCTAATATAGATCTGGGTCAAGGCACACAAGACTAAAATCTTAACGCTCCGACAATACGGATGACCAAGCGAAACGTCAAAAGGTTGAATTGTATTTGCGAAATTCTGACGTCACAGTCTGCACCCACGACGAATCAACCGGAACTAACAAGTACGAGCCCACGAGTTTCGTTCTTACGCCAGTACAAAGTTCTAGATCGTTTCTATTCGTCTAATTATCTAATAAATGTACATTGCAGCTTGCTTGTTCCGACCTGATACAATCAGATAATCCGTTATTCATAAACGATAATCGCACAGCCCACAGCTGATACGCCAGGAGTATATCGCGTTATTACGGATGCGTGCAGAGATAAGGACGTAGTTCCCGCGGCAGTGATTTGTTTGCAATCCCTGAGTCGTGCATTATCGTCATCCGCGATATATATCATCGAGACGGTGTTAGGGAAACTGTTAGACATGCGGATCGGGTGTTACCGGAGCATGTATCACATGAAACCGGTGTCCACTGAAATAAACAATTATCCTTCGGCGCCGGGACGGTTCCGCGGATCGAACGAGTTTCAAAGCGCATCTGAAAGCGATCATGCAAGCAATATCCTCGGGAACGCGTGCGGTAGTGTGTACGTGTATACGAGCGTGTTTGTGTGCGAGCACGTGAGTGCAGATATACGCAATAGATGACTGTGAATTGGTTCGCTCATACATGACTCGCAACGGCGCGTCTTGCAAGGGATTACATAGATATCTATTCATGATTTCGCCACTTCTGTTGTACAGTCGAACGCGAACGTTCGTAGAAAGTAAACGTTCAAATGCTGTTCATATTTTAGGTGAAACCCCACTCTCTGTCTACCTTTTGCACCAGAATACCTCTAATTTGCGGACGTAAACGTTCTACGGTAGGTGTCTAATACGAAGAGAACGTTTAGACGAACAACGGTAATCAATTGTTTGGTATTTGAACAATAATGAGGTAGAGTTAATGTGTACATTATCAGATTTTCATATCTCTAGTGAAACACGCGTTAAACTAAAGTTTTATTTTTCATTTTGGACAAACACGTAGGACAGTGGGCCAGGAATGTTCAAAGAATTTGCAATAGTATGCCAAGGTTGCATCAGGTTTTATTACTCCGTAACTACGTAGTGTTTCATATAGAATGGTACCTTGAAAATTATGTCGATTCATAGTATTTCACGTCTGTGGAATGCTACCGGTCAACAACAAACCTGTTAGTAATAAAATATCGGTCGAGGAATGTATTGTATGTATGTGTATGGTTTTCCCGACCTATGCTGGTCTAATACACAACGCTATCGCGATTGAAACCGGATCGTACATTTTCATTACCCTCACATAGAAGGAGCGCACTTGTGCTTGACAGAGCGTTATTGTGCTCAAGATAGTAACGACTAGAGACATTCGTGTGCTCGACAGTGCGTGTCAAACCACCCTTTCGCCTTCCTTTCCGCTCACCTTCACTCACGAGCAGAGGTGGCTCCTATTAATCTTGCCTCTATTGTGGAGGCAGTGAAACCAAATGCAATACTAACAATGCGATGCAACATGTTTTTTTAACGCCAACATGAAATCCTTCGAACGATATCCCTGTCGCTTATAAGCGTCTTACAATTAAACACTTGTTCTTTAATCACCTGCTGTGGGACACATTTCATTGATCGTGTTCAAGATGAGAACACGATGGAATAAAAGAATACGATAACAGAAGTCGTTAATTTTATCCCATTCACGTACAAACAGATGTGGGATCGTTACATACAGACAGAAATTGAATAACGTACATTCTTCATGTATACCTGTTGCATCTGACGGTCGTGCAAGGATACAAACTCTGAAGTATTGCGCACTATATAATTATAACGTAGATAAGTCACGCGAGCGAAAGTGTTTGACAATAGTAACGATAACTTTGGATCTGGCATTCCGTCGATGTAATAGCAGTTATGGAAAGATTGTCGGCGTTCAATTACGTCAACGAGTGACGTTTGTAGCAATTAACCCAGTCAAGGATTGCACCCGATTAAATGTATGATGAACTGTGCATGTATGTTCGTAAATCTTGTTATATCGTCTGAACGTAGGAATTTCGTTTTGCTATGTATGGACTATATTAAACGAACTTACCATCAGCATATTTTCGGTCGTTCAAGGTGAATAGTATGACATTTTTATTCAATAAATAATTACGTACCATGACATTGCGCAGATTCTTTTGTACAATCGTACACACATCGAATGATATTTATTTATAATTAACAAGCCACCCACCATTGTCGTCACTGAAGGTTCACGTTCAGCTTTTGTAGAAATTTCGATCACTATTGCTCAATTCAAATAAGTTCTACCCACACTGGTACCCGTCCGCGATTAAACGAACTTCCGGCGACGTGGATCCTCAAAGGAACCCGTGTAGCGTCTCCTGGATACGAACAGGAACTGTTCCAGTTTAAATGTCTCGGGAGAATGTCGCGCGTGGGTTCCAGCATCCCCCTTCTTGTTATGTACCCCACCTGCAGAGACCAAGTTACGAAGGTTCGGAAGGACTCACTCGGGGACACGGTAGAACTTTCATTTCGGTGAACGCAATGCAACTAGGTTTTACGCGATTTTGAAGTTACCGCGCGCCTCGATAACCAATAACTGCGCTCGAATGAATGCGCAGTGACATGTTCCTTCGGCGGGCTATGCGTGTTCATTTCGTTGCTGCTACAAAATTGTTGAAAATGTAAGAAATTTTCTGTCCACAAGCATCCAATTGTTATCTCATTTATTATAAAGCATTCTTGGTCATATGGCAACTCATTTTTGTATAGGTTTAACACTGGGCTGTTTATGTCTGAGGCTTTTCCTGATTGTCAATTTGAACGTGAGCGGTACCGTTATGTTTCATTTAACCTGCGATCAAATACAAAGTTCAAGTAAGCAGAAAATAATTATTAAACACTCTGTGGCGTGTATTATACGATTGTAAAGTATTGTTGATACCAATGACTTATTCAAACCATGGACTTGTAACAAAATACCAAATATTGATATTGTATTGGCTTTCCTTGGTTACACCTCTGTAACCGTTATAGATATGGAAATATTGGAAATACGTTATACGTTATAAAAATAGCATTGTATCAATATGTACAACTATTGGGATATTTTGAGCTATAGTTGTAAAAAGCAACTTTAAGGGAGTAACTAATGGCCAATTTCGGTATTATTTCCATTTGGGTACGACTTAAATAACACAATACCGGTTTTTTGAGCCGCTAATTTAAATAATCGGTGATAATTCATATGTTGAGTTTTTTCATTACTGGAAGAGTTTAATGTTCGTTAGTGAAAATCATTTAATGTATGTATATATACATGTATAATTAACGTGTTACTCTACAAACGTGCTTGTACTTGGATGATTGTTATGTAATAATAGTTATTTCACATTCTGGGTTGCAATTAGCATTTTAACATAATTGTGTTGAAATTTATGAGAAAAAGACATAACCTAACGTCAGAACACGTATCCGTGCTTTATGAAATGTTCTTTAATTGGGAGAAAAAAAGTGTATCTTGTTAGTAAAGTTTGGGTCCGTTTGTATTAATCAACATATAGGCTGCTGCTTAGAGCCATGTATAGTGATATTACAAATATATTTCTGTTTGTGAAATCTGTCAGACACAATAGGTTAGTTTTCCTTTTGACTGTTTTATGTTCTCGTTTCGTGAAACTATTACAAGGTAATTACTACTCATATTATGTGTATTATATATACATACTAATTACAATATAGATGTTACATGTTGTAGGTCAACATGAGTTTAAATAGCTCAATACACGTTCTCACTCTGGTATAGCATTAAAATGTTCATGTGAGAGTTGTATTGCTTTATTAAGGGAATGTGACATTTTATCAATTTTTGTGACAAGTAATATTACAAATCACAGGATATTATACAAAATAAGTTAATTATCATCTATATATTATGACATTATCGATAGGATCAAGTTCTCCACCATTTATGTTGCAAAACTGTGTACTACGTTCAAATCAATTGTGTATTCGTATTATACCACATTATTATAAACATAGTCGTTACAAGTTATCGCAACATGTAGTGTTTATGATTTCAAATTGTATTTAACATTTACTATCTATATTGCTTGCTTATTCAGAGATGTAGAAGTCTTGTATTAATGTACTAAGTTCTACCAGTCTATTATACATATTTTATTATACTAATGCCATAAAAAAATCCACTTGAACTTCTATTAACATTAAAATGTTCTGTTATTTTTTTCTACAACTATCAAGTATTGTCGTTTTTACATTTCCTGGTTAATTAGATCTATAATCTCACTATTAATACAAGTGCCATTGTACATATTCCATTCTGATACTTTTATACTGTGATACAGTTATTAATCAGCGTTAAACTACTGACTAGGACTGCTGCTCATAATTAATAAGACTTATCTTTCAAGTACAATGGTACACAGGTATATTATAATAAAAATACTTCATACTCTGTTCATCCACCGGCAATTGCACGCGATTTAAAAAAAAACGTATAAAAAATTGTACAATCCGCAGTTCTAAGTGGTCGCTTAACCAATACGTTCCTTGCTGAGTTTCTTGCGCAATTACGGTTGCACAATCAATAAAAGATTACAATAAATTACATCATCAATAGGAGCTATGCTTGGTAGCCAGTGTATATCAGTATTTAATGTCACTATGCATCGTGCTTGGTACCTAGTGTATTATCGACTTCAACATTCGTAACGTATTTCTTCTTCTTTTTAAACAGTTGCTGCTTGGTGTGCGTGACAAATTAATTAGCGCAGCCAACGTACCATTAAGAGGTTCGTTCTCTTAATGGGGAAACAGCAATCCTGATCTGTTGTTCGCTTCAGATCAATTGGATCGTCGGATAAAGATACTCCGTACTTGTTTCCACGAATCACTCATCCTGCTAATCCTCCTGTCTGTTCGCTTCTGTCTCCGAGAAATACTTTTTCTTTATTTTCTATTGTGTACTCTATCAACGAGAACGAACGTCTCTAAATGTACTGGCAATATTTCCGAAAGGCACGCTGGTATATACGCAATTTATTATTGCGCTCTATCTTCACGGCATCGACGGTTTTAAAGGGTTTCATGGAAATTATTTCCCGTACTCTTGGTGTATGTTTATGAGGAACCAGAACGCCACCGCAAGGAACAGCGTTCCCGTGAGATCGCCCAACGCAGTCAAGTACGGAATGGCCGAGTTGTCCGGATCGATTTTGTGCCGCCACATAGCGTGGATAATGATATGCGCCACATAGAGCAGCAGCATGACCTGCGACAGATAAAATGGTTTTATTCGTTTTTCTTATCTTTTTTTTATTTTTGGTGTCTCCCCGACCGTTGGCTCGGGACCTTTCACTTTTTCCGTGCTCGATGCTCGAACATGGGAGTCATTGTACTCACTTGAAAAACGGCCACCATGAGATACGAGACCACGAAGTATATGTGCAACGTGGATAATCCGTGCTTCATGTAATCCGCGAGAAAAATGAAGATCAGCTCGCCGAACACCGCCATGCAAATGAGTATTCTGGCCGTTTTCGCGTACGGCGCTGAGGGGGGAGAACGAAAGCGAACGGCAATTATGCAATGGTGGAAGTGCGAAAAATATGTAGCAGGCAACATTAGTTATTCTTGCGTCATTGTACTACTTACAGCCTCTAAAGAGCGCCGTCCACGGGCTAACCCACATTTTCGAAGACGGCGGTAAAATTCCCATAATCGTTGTCTGATGTAACGTGGTCGAGATTCGAGATGCTTGTACGGAGACTAAATTACCGCCGATTCCGTTTATGATCGGTTGGAAGATCACAAATCCATGAAAGTCGTCGACGACACGATCGAGGATTAAACCACCGAATCTAAATTGAGAAGCACATTGTATTGTCGGTGTTCTACATGATTTGCCCCCGGTTAAATGGTTCGGGGTATTATGGATAGAACATATATTTAGTACACATACGAACCCACTAATAAACAGAGCGGATAGAACGGGAACCCAACCGGATGTTAAAACGTTCCTAGTGTATTTATTTTTTAGGACAACGTAGATCCAGAACGGCAATATCAAAAAGTAACAGCCGAGTATGACGAACAGGACCCACATCTGCGTTTGCATTCTCTCGAATAACGTCGACGCGATGGCCGATAGCACGCTCAACGACACAACATCACCGACAGACGCGGCTAAGGGCGTCGCCAAATTGTCCGGGTTCATTTTGCATCGATACGATACCATAATGACGGCGATCATTACAAAATCTGTTGGAAAGAACATTACTGAAGGATACAAATCTAATGCATACAATCTATGCGAGAGAACGTTGCATTAGACGCGAAATGCTATTTGCAAAAAAGAAAAAAATGGTAATCCACGCAAAAAATTGATGTATTTTACATCGACATGACACTGTGAAACAACTTTTTCATCGCAATTCCACTCTGCAGGACAACGTATACCGATTCATTATCAATACGTATGCATGTCTGATTAATCAGCTAGTTTGATTTAAAGCAACAAATCCGTCGGTCGATAATCGCGGTGCAAGGACTTGACTGTAAGGTAGTACGTTTCGGGACTGTATTTACCTAGAATGAAGCAGGAGCTGGTGGCAGTGGACACGCTAGACGCGGCCAATAAGAGACAGTGTTCCCACTTGAAATCGTACGTGTTACCCTCCGCGATCGCGTCGACTACAACTGCGAAAATCGACACCAATACAGCGGCGACGATCGCCTGTATCTGTACCAGGGCGATGTTACCGATAATCATTTTCATGATCTCACGGACACCGTGCATATTCCCCAAGTTCGCCTGCGTGCAAAGACGGGAGGCCAGGCACATGTCGAGATTGCCTTTGAGGCCTAGCAAAGAGGGCACCAGAATGAATAATTGGCTAACGGTTTTGAACACTTTCCAGTCCTGGAACAGAGACGAGGTTTAATTACACAGGGGGGAAAAGATGGCGGCGGTGGCTCCTCGACCAATTATTCTTACGTACGGAATGCAACCGGGAATGTAAATTATGCTCCGAGAATTTCCACATTAGTGGTACCCGATAAAATCTCGAATCGTAAATGTTTGTACCATGGGCAGGGAGGAGGACGGACAGGCGCACGGGGGGAGGGATATTTATGTTAAAGATTCTTGAGATTGCGACGGCGTAACTCCGGGGCCATGCTGTTGTGTGTTATTTCCACGGCAGATAAAATGCACAAACGCGATAAATAAAAAAAAAGCGTTGCCGTACATTTAGCATTATCTCCAGACAATAAGAGGCAGAGTGCGCGATCGATAAGAGCACATTCTGGGAAAAATACGTGATTTACGATCGTGAGTGTTTAAATCTTAATTCGCCAAACAAATTGCTTTCACGACACGCGACTTGATTGATTAACAAGCCGAGAAATACGTACCTTGACCTCTGCGAGAACCAGACCGGCCCCGATCGTCCCGATCCCGGCGATGAAGAACGGTACGGCGACCTGAAGGGTGGTTTGGTACCATTTCTCGTGCTGGATGTTGTTGCCGAAACCAGCCGGGTTATTACGGAAGTCCGGATCGGTATCTGAATTTGTGACGGAAGAGATCGTCACTAAGGAACTTCCACTGGAAAGCGATCCATCGCCATGAGGGGGCAGTGGCATGTCCCCTTTGTTCTTTTGTCCGTTAGGGGTTCTCAGACCCGCTACCGACAAACCAATACATCTCACATCGCACAGCACGATGTTTTTTAAGGCCGTTCAATTTCACATTTTAACGTGAATTTCGTAATTCTCGAGATCCTCGAACGAACCGCGCGAATTAGTCTCATCGGTTTCAGTGTACAATCTGGCGGAAATCGGTACTTTTCACGAATCGTTTTATCAGCGTATCGTTTCACGACGTATCGACAGAAATTGCGATTGTTCAGGACACGTAAATTTGACGACCGAACTTCATCGCAGCGCAACGGTTTTCTTGACACCGGCTACGAATCGACTTCTCCATGCCGAAAGAGCGTAAATAATACACGAACAAGGTTATCGCTTCGAAATGATTATTTTTATTTATGTATCGTGGTGCAATACCGTTGCGATATGTCCTTATTGTTTCGTGTACCTCGCGAGCAATACGAACAGACTCATCCGTAGATGAACGTACGCATTATCGGTACACCTCGGAGATTAATTAATGAGATGGATTTCTATTAATATCAATGTTCGAGCGTATAGTTTCGCTTCGTCTCGTACGATGATTCCCGCGACCGGTTGACTGTTTAAGAAAATCGTCCGCGAGACAAAGGAAGTTTGCGTTATCATTTTGGTAACAGTACCGCGGTGTAACTTGTTGTTCTCAACAATGTTTCTCGTTACGTGTACGATCGCAAACGTGTTATAACACTCTTGTAACTGACCGCGGATTATGCGTGTGCAAAATTTGAATGACAACATAAGAATCAGGGGGAAGACGATCGTCGTCGATCGTGACGCGTATAAGACCTCTTTAACGCGACGATATCGCGATAAAATAATGTACGTACGCGATACTGTATCCGACTAATTTCTTAACTAGGTGTTGACCATTTGTTTTTCAGTTAATAATATCATGTTGTTTTTCAAAAACACATGATGGCCACTTTTCTGGAAAAATTGATGAGATTAGTTCGTGCATTCGCTTTTTTCATTCTGTCAGAACAATCTGAATGACTTTTGTCCCACAGTGAAGGAAAATTATGTAGTATGCCAATCAATTTATCGTTATCGAATGTTGCACTCTCTATGGTGAATAGTCTTAGTTTTATGTGATGCGATGACCAAACTGAACGATACTTCAACTACCATGTAAATGCTACCATTTGTTTCTACGTTTTGGCAGTCGCCTGGATGCAAAAACAGTTGCCGGTGGCCGACTGACCGAGGGTAACGAAAATCAGTATCGCGATAGTGTATTTCACGAGAATCGCTGTTTGAACGCTTCTGCAGGTAATGCATGTACCATCGGTATACATCACACGCGAATCGTCGTGTGAAAGTGGTTTAAGATCGCCAGCTAAATCGTAGGTTAACACCCAAAAGGCGAACATTCCTAATTTCTGAACGGACGGCGGTACCTGGGTCCAGATAGATTAGAACGAATTTCTTAAAAGTACGTTGGTCTTCTTTTAAAATATCGATATAAATTACTGTACGGTTAGTTTCTATAAACTGAAGTGGTGCGCAGAGGTTCTGATATCCTGTGTCAAAATGGACACGGATATCGTCGTCCTGTGATTAATATTGTAGTCAGCGAGATTCGGTGCTCACCTGCGACTTTCTTCACAACGTCCGGTTCCGCTTTGATCTCCGTCGATCCGTTCACCTTGCTTTCGTTGGCCTTCTCCATACAATCGAAATCCAACGCGTAATTGTCCTTGCCGTCCCACATGTTAACCCGCGATATGGTGAACGCGTGATCCTTTACTTTCATAGCGTCCGATCTGTTTTCTAATTGCTCATCGCGGTCCTCGCGGTTGTTTAACTTTATATCGGTTACGTTCAACAGCGTCGGCTCAGTCGACGAGTCCGGAAAAACGACCATACCTGCAATTTTTTTCCATGATTCGTACGAAGTATCATTCCCACGGGGAATAGGCTGAATCGGGAATTCGTTCGTATTAATGAGCATTTTCTGCTCGAACACGAACACACTCGTGAGTCGGGTCGATAGAGTAGGTATGCATTATGCTTCCGAAGGTCAGCGCTCGGCTAGCCGTAAATCAAATTTGATTCGGGATTTAAGATTTTTTTTTTTTATATTCTTTTTAATCGAATATGTCATCACGTACCGGATTCGTTGCTGGCGGACGATCTGATAGTATCCCCGTCGAAATTGGCCGAGTCTGGGATCGACTTGTGACAGTTTCACGTCCGATCTGCCTATTTCAGTCAGCCTTGATCTGTAAAAATTAGTCGAAGATAAACGAAAACGTCGGTCGTATGTTTTCTGTTGCTCACAGAAGAACATGGAAGGATCAACTAAATTTCTACGATAGATCGAACCTGTCGCCTTGGGCTTTTATCGATTTTGATGTTGATTTCGCAAGAGTATTTGATCATCGATATTGAACGGCGATATTCATTAACTGATAACAAATTGAAAGAGAATTGACGAAACGATAGCTCCGTTTTCACTACATTTTTTGATGTCGTTGCTCTTGAGCCAGACGGTTTGATAGCGCGTGCAAAACTATATACGCGATCAGCAAAGTATCGTTAACGACACGAGGAACTTGGTTCTTGTGTTACTCTTAATCTGATCCCACGTGTCGGTGGATTTAAATTACACGCGTGCAAAACGCTGAAAAACGGCTGTGCAGGATTTATTTGAGAATCCACTTAGAGGGCAACAATTCCCAGGGAAATTACTAATCGAGTTCCGGCAAATGTGTCACCCCAAACGAGAAACACGAAAAATTAATTCTACGAAACTATTAATATGTCTATATAACACACTGGCCAAAGAAATGCACACGCTTAAAGACGAAAATTTTTCCCACTGCTGTATTAAACTCCAAGTTTTCTATCACCTTCGACTACGGTACCAACACTAATATAGCACTTTTCTGCCGTAAATACATTTTGTACGCATCGTTATCATTTCGCGTGTAAGAACCGTCTATTTTTTTCACGCTCGTAGCTCGTAAAAGTCGGTATCCTTCGGGTACCTCGCAATCGCCGTAATAAACGATAAATAAAATAAACATCAATAGAGTCAACGAATCAGTCATGGACATGCAACTATGGAAATTAGTACCTAATCGATATTTATCTTGATCGCCGTTCTAGTTTTCGAAAAACATGAAAAAACGAAGAAAAAACAAGAAAAGAAAAGAAAACACTTATGTCATCCGATACTTACGTAGTGACGATATATCGAGGAATTTGCGCCAGCGTGTCGACGTTTCCTAGTAAAACGCTGATTGTTCGTTGATATTCGATTGACCCTGCCACTTCTGGCTCGCGCGGCTTCGATCTTGTCCTCGAAGAAACGCGGGATTTCTTAAGGGGATCCTTCGGACGCACGAGCGTTGGATGGCGGGTGGTTTGAAGGGTGGTTCTTCGTTGATTCGTATGGTGAACCGTGATCGAGGATCGATCCAGTGTCGTGGGAGTCGCGGCCGGAAGGCAAGCGACGGCGTCGTAGCTCGCGAAAAAATAAAATGAAACTTCGCGTACGATTAATCAGTACCACCGCGAACACCGAACCGTTTGCCTCACGCGGTCGTGGTTGACTGATAAAAGAAGCTTCAGCCCGTTTGTCGGGTATTACAGCCGCTCATGTGCATAGATGCGACCGTGTTGCCCGCCGCCGCGTCCGGACGTACAAACGTGTGCTATCTCAACCAAGATGATAGTGGGAGTGGAGTGGCTTATCGTGAATAAATTGTAGATCGTAGATCACTAATTGTTTTGCGACATCGCTCGCGAGCGGAATCCCCATTCGAACTTGAATTGATTCTCTTACGTCCCCACCACCGATCGACCGACCGACCAGCGCGGCTGTTCCGCTCCCTACCCGTTTGCGTTCGCCGATACAATTGGTACTCGCGGCGATTCAAGTATTATGTATGTATGTACCCGGCGTGATACGAAGACAACACGAATTTAATCGAACTGCACGATAGCAAGGACGGATAGTTCTGGTATCTGGGCAAAGCACGAAAATATTGCTTCCGGCAATGGACATAGATATGTAGGTTGTATAATCGTTGTTCAACTTGCATCGATACGTGACCAAAACGTGTAAAATTGATTGTCTTCGAGATGTTGTTTCCCTACGGTTTTCCACACGTCCTATTATCTAAATGACGTTCCGCTCATGGTTGTAACGTTTTGTAATTGTTTCTTGGTCGAAATGTGCAACGTATAGGTTCAAGGCAAATGACTCAGCATAGAAAATGTGTACACGTACACGGTGCTATGAATTCTTTCCTGTGTTTTTTTCTTCTTTTTTTATGTTTTCCGTAATTCAGTAACCGTTGCAAGATTAACCGATGCCTTAATTATTATTATCCACATTTTATCAAACGATCGCCACGAACGGCGATACGTATTCGGTTCCAGTTTGCGGTGTTAAGATGAACCGACAAGAATAGAATTGCATAAAGGGAAATCTATGTTGTCTTCGAGGGGAATTTCTGATAATTGGTATTCCGTGTTCGTGATCACGGGATTCACCTTTTTCTTTCTCTCTCTCTGTTTTTTCTTTTTGTTCGATGACGTCACGGTTACGTTACGCGTTCAAGGAAGTACCAATTTGTCGCATGTGTGGCCGATTCACGTATGTCGGAGACGCGACTGTCAACAACGATTCGAATACATTGTCGGCGACACTAAATGTCCAGCGTCGACTCGATAGTCACGGAACAATGGGACAATTTAACTTGTTGACCATTATTAAAAGTAATTACGTTATAGCGATTATGAGGCAAAAAACGTGGCGTCAAGCAACGCGAGCACGATAGCAATCGCTCCGTTGAGACTTCAACATATACCGCACAATTAAAAAGAAAAGGATGGCACACGAAACACTTAGAACAGTATCAGGTGGCAAGATCAATGATGTCACTATCAGTACCACCGACGGCTTCTTCACGCACGTTCATCGTCAGCTTTGAAAACGTCTTATCCGGATCAAGGTCTATTCGACTATCGTCGATTTCAACTGACCATTAGACAATAATGATTATTACAGTAGTAGGGTTTGTTTAACCATGATATTATCGGACAACGAGAACTAATCACTCGGAGTTTATTGTTCGTACTTTTATAATATATGTATATAGATAATACAATAAAATTCTACTTAAGCGTTACACGTCAACCGTACCCAGGCGACGGATTAAGTGGCTTTCGAGAGATCTCCGTTAAATGTCGTTCACCTGCGTGGACACGTTATTTCGACGTCGAAAGTTCACAGGTTACGGCGACTGGTACGCGTTTCGAACCACCATACCATCGGCTCGGTACCAGCGGCAATACTAATTTCACGAGAACCGACGGCTAAACAACAACATCGAGTATAGGTCAAGTACGAGTATTGGGTATTTACATTCGACGCAGGTGCCGCGTGTTTGATTTCGATCCTCCGTTAAAGGGGTGATATCGGGAGCGGTAAACAGGCTTAAATGCCGTTTCGTCATTGCCCGTTGATTCGTTAGATAAAATGCGAAAATGTACTTGGAATACCTCGCTCCGATTTTATCTCCGGGTAGCGGGTGAACACCACGGGGACGAATTATTTAACAAGGTTAAAAATGTAACAACAATATCAATCCGATACGCGCGCACCTTTCGGCCATCCACTTGTACCATTGCCAGCACGAATAAACAAGAAAATCTTGACACCGCAGATATTTGACGTATTCCGCTAATCCGACTATTACGGTATGCACACATTTTATAGCCGCTTTATCACTGGCTGTAAAACACACGGGTCTCTTCGGTGATTTCTCTGTAATAATCAACATTATAAAACGTATCATTTAACGTACAAATGGCCAAAGATTTTCCAGAGTACATACTTACCTCCAAGCGTGCTCGAACAACATTTCCCGTGAATTTTCTAATGATTCTTTCGTCTCGCCGTGGTTCAGCTGTGCCGACGAATCTGAAAAGTTCTTTTCTCTGAAACTTTGCAATTATTCGGAACAAAGTTAAGTCTTGATTGACCGCGGATTGCAATCGAATTCTTGTGTTTTTTTCCGTCGTCTTCGAGTAGTTGAGATACTGTATAGGTTGATAATTTATCACCATTAGGAATCAGCGTGACAGAGAAATCAATCTAGGAAACAATTACATTTATACATCGGTACAGTAGACAATTACGATGAGTATCAACGCTGAGCTTGTTTTTTTTTTTGTCCGCCGTATATATTTGTTATGCCTATTTTACGCCGCACGTGACATTGACGGCGTTATCTTCGTCGATGTAGCATAAGTGGCTAAATAATTGCATTAAATTGAGAAAAACATCAGTGTGTACAATCTTCCACGGAGTTCGAGAAGCAAGAATGTGTGAGGTAATTGAAATACCAGAGGGATAGATTAATGTATGCTTATTGTTTTTCTCGGCGTTCTTTACGAGGAAAATCCTAAAAGGCATTCGTATTTGTTTCGGATTTTCTGGGCGGTTTTACGAAGAATCATTCTGTGATCATCCATTGCGCTGACAAATCTTTGATTTCGGTTTTTTCAAAAATAGTTTTTCTATTTCATCTTAACTTATCGAAGGTCGGTCGTTTAAAATTCGATATTTCGAAGAATAGCGCGAACGTCATCTACCGGTAGTATGTTAATGAAGAATAAACAAAATTTGTATGATAACTGTTTCAGTATTTATCCTTGAAAAATGTGACGTGTTTTTTTAGTTAGGAGTACTTACCGTCGATTTAAATTCGACTGATAATGACGTATGTACGTCCGATGTTGTGTACACACTGTCGTCGCATAGGAATTGTTGCAATTAATTGGCATAGATTATGATGTTATGTAATGGATATCGAATTAACTTCGCGACCACGCGCTACTAGGTACGGATGAATTTCTTCGTTTTCTTTTATTTTTAGTGACGATTATCGTATCGGCCTTATTACATGTGTGGTTTATCGGAATCTTTATCAATGTCTATCCGATCGAAATACCTTTACTTTGATAACTACCGTCTTCGGTCAATATTAACATTTGGTTGAAATAATTCATTGTAATAGTATACAAAATGATTATTAACTTTTTAACCGAATTTGCTTCACTCATATTCAACATTTCTACTGGATCTATTGGACATAATATTGTGATAGTCGTTTCATAAGTACGAGAACGTGGGCTACTGTACGATCACAATCTTTATACGTGCGATTAGCGTTATGTGATTCGATTGATAATAGCGTGGCGTGTTGCTCTTAGCCTGTGTGCCAAATATCACGGTTAGGTAATGTGTCACTCCTTCACTTTTGCAAAATTCTTGGTAGAAATGATTTTTCGTAAAGGCAAGTAATTAGCATAAGGTTGCCATAAATCTTTTAAAATTCAGCGAATTCGATTGAGACCGTTCCAGTAGTCCTAAAAGGATTCAATTTGCTGAAAGATCACTAATGCCCTTCAAAGGTCCTCGAGGATCAGCACAATTTGCAGGTCATTGATGACCAATGGAGTCTGAAAAAGTTGGCCATGGATGGTCAAATGTGGTCGTAGGAAATGATGACCAATCGAGTTAATGAGTACTACAGATGAATGATAATAAGGACGAGGGGGCACAGAAGATGAAGATGGCTAAGGAAGTGTTTGAAGGATGATTACAAATGACTAAGAGTGTCAAAGGTGGTTAGATATAACAAAAGACTTTGAGGGTGATCATAGACAGTTGTGATATGTGGTTAGACATGACCAATAAAATCGGAAGTAATTAAAAATGGCCTAACACCACCAAGGAGTTCAAGGGTGGCCAATGATAAAGAAGGTAGATTTAGGAGGACAGAGATGGTACAGGTACAGGAAGTACATGGATGATGATTGAAGGTGATTAAGGTTCTCGGAAGTAGGCAGAGACAACTAAAATGTTAAGAATGCTCAGAGATATCGGTTTATCGATCTGATTGTGTCCTCTGTTAATTCAATAGTTAATTGCAAAGATTATTGTTTCCACGGGAATAATTGTCACTGCGATAAAAATTACTAAAAATTATTTGACTTATTTTTCAATGAAAGTTATTATTGATAATTATTAAAAGAAACGAAAGTATAATTTTCACGAACTTCTTCGATGGAATGCGTGTCTTTGTGAGAAGGGAAGAAATGAAACGACACCGTTAATGATTATTAGACTATATTATTGGACGTATCCAACTATTCTTGACTAACAAATAATATTTATCGA